GAATTTTCATAACTAACACACCACACACCCATCACATGCTCCATGCTGATCATCCCACTGACATACATGCAAGTTTTTTCCTCCCTCTTTTGGATTTCTGTTGTTCTAATATGGTGTTGCTGAGACTCCAGGAGAAGTCTTGCATGATCTCTACTTTGTGCATAATGTACTCTCCAGCCTTTGTGAAAATGTTATTCGGGGTAATCCTTCGAGGAAAAAGTTCCCCTTTCAAGTACAGGACTTTAGTCTTCTAGCACAAACATTGAGCAAATGGGCTTCTCATAACTTTAATTTTACATCAGATGGTATTCTGATTGATACAGAAATTAAAAATGACTGAGGAGGGAGAGCATTTACAGACTGCACAGGGAACCATTAACCAGGAGTATGTTAAGCATGGATAGTGAGCTGTGTGGTGTTCAAAGACAGACCAAGTGAAAGGGAACACAAGCCTCAGGAGTTCACATCAGGCTGAACAGCAACAACTGAGTCCAACAAACAGACACGCTTGGATTTCCTGAGGGCAGACTTTGTCCTGTTTAGGAGACTGGTTGACAGAGTCCCTTGGGAGGCAGTCCTGAAGGGAAAAGGAGTCCAGGAAGGCTGGACATACTTTAGGAAGGACATCTGCACAGGAGCAGGCTGTCCCCATGTATCAGAAGAGGAGTCAGTGAGGAAGAAGACCAGCCCAGCTGAACAGAGAGATTTGGCTGTAACTCAGGGAAAAAAGGAGAGTTTATGACCTTTGGAAGAAGGGGAAAGCAACTCAGTGGTGGACTTGGCAATGCTGGGTTAACTGTTGGACTTGGTGATCTTAGAGGTCCATCTGAAAAGATTCTATGATTCTAAGCTTGCTGGTGTCCTGAGAGTTGTTACTGACTACAGCCAGGCTCCATCTTGATCCCACCGGAAATCCCTAACAAAATTCCTATTTATTTCCATTGCTGAACAATCCTGGGAATAATAGAAATATCTATATGCAAGGAAAATGTGTATGTGTTTGTGATTCTCCTCTGGGTTCTATTTTCTGTAGAATCAAAGTCCCAGTTCCCATTTCATGATGAATCTAAGTCTTCAGTTCAGCTTCACTTCTGTTAGCACCACAGAGAAATCTCTGACAAGACAGATGTCTGCAGCCACCAGAAGCCTTAAATTGAACACCTAAAAATAGAAAGCTGCAGAATTTATAAATATTTTTGCAAATCAACCTTTTATAACTACCCTCCTTTTGTAGCAGTGGTAGTTAGCATTGAAATCCAAGTATATTTCAGCAAAAGAGAAAGCTGACCAAGCAGCCCAAGAAATTCTGCAGAGTTCTGCAAATTGCAGGAGGCCCAGGGAAGGAAATCACTGCATGCCAAATTTTCCCACTGATTTCTATTGTCTCTACTTATCGTATGTAACACTGGGAATTCATTGTGGAGCACTGTATCTTCCCCCAATTCTTACCTAGCTAATAGCCTGATTATGTTTTATGACTTTGTATTCTCATTCAACATAATTTACTCTTCAGTTAGAAAATAAGACTGTCCCCAGAGAAACAGCCAGCCCTTTGTTCTCTTTGTTCACAAATTAGTTTGGAGAAGGATCGACCGGTAGTGTAGAAAGCCTGTATTGGATCTGCTAAGATCTCTTCCTATTCAGATTTGCTTTCTGTGGCTGGAGGCTACTCTTGATAGTTATTTGGAATGAAATATTGTTCATCCCCTTAACAAAGAGATAGTTGGTTCCATTCAGTACTTCCATGAACCTCAGACAGTGTTTATATAGCACGTATTCAAAACACGCCAGCTATTTCTTACCATCCTATAGTTTCTCTGACCGTGGGCTGGGCTTCTCTTTTGTCAGAGGGCTTCTGTTTACCTGGCATCTTTTTTGGTTCTTTTGTATCTTTCTCTGTGCAATCATTTCCTAAACTGTCTGAGAAAATATGATTATGAAGAGGAAGAACTGCAGAATTCCCCTGAAATAAGTTCCTTCAGCTTTTCTTCCAAAGACTTGCTCCTCTCTCCCCCTATCTCACACCTGAGGCTGGATACTCCCTTCTCCATTTCCCTGACTCCAGCATGTGGATATTGCTGTGGAGCCCTCCAGCAGGTCACTGTGGATGATTTCCATTTATATCTCATGTCTCAGTAAACCTCCTCCTGAGGACTTCTCTCTTGTGCATCCCCACAACCCGTTTCTTTCTGGTTTCACATTGCTACTGGATTGACCTGTGCCAGATGAGAAAAAGTCAGGAGACTCTTTTAAATAGAAAGTTACTCAGCCTGACATCTTTGCTGTACAGTATATCTCTCAGAGTTGATCTCTACTACCAAGACTTTGCCAGGAAAGTCAAACCAGTAAAGGCTTCTTGAGAAGGATTGAGTTTGGCATATAAAAACTGTCTGTACTGCTAACCAGGCTTCCCTAGTTACATAAGCCATCCTGCAGAAGATTTCTTTTGCTGCTGTAAATTGTACCAGCCCAGGTGACTTCCTTTCTAAACTGTTTTGGCAAAATGCTGCCTATGCAAGCATTGTAGGCTAAACAGATCCCTTATGGTGGATTTTTTTGGACCAGGTGAATTCTTTCTATTGCCCTGCTGTGAATATCTGTGAAAATCCAACTTGGGTCAAACTAAAGCCTTTGGTTTAGCTGCAGTAGTGGGAACATGGGAGGAGGAAGGCAAGAGGCCCCTCTATTGAACTTAAATCCTAGGCTCTGCAGCTAAAAAAGCCCCCAACAGATCTCAGTATGCCCAATCCAGCAAAGTAGCTGACAAAGAGATATATAGATATATATAGATATATACATATATATAGATATATAAACTATCACCAGAGGATGTGAGCACTGACAGTGTGTATCCTTCCTCTTCTGTGTGTTGAAGTCATCATGGACAGGACATACTGGGCATTTTCTTATGCTTCTGCAGCCTTTTGAAAATGCTGGGCCAGATGCACAACTCCTTTAGATTAATGCCAGTGCATCTCTTTACACCAGCTGACAGCTTTGCCCACAGTTCACTAAATGCTATTTATTATTTTATTTTGTTTGCTAGAGTGACAATGGAAATGACATTGATACACAGGTCAATTTAATCCTGCTGACATAGCCTCGAGGAGTTTTTTGTTTATTTTTTATTTTTTCCCTTTCCCAAGAGAATCTCCCTTACAGTTTTATATTTGGTAAGGTTTATTAAATAAGATCAGCATATTAGCAGTCTCGTAAGCTTGTTATTTTATGTATCTCTTTATTTCTTTAGCTTTATTAATCGTTATGGTACTTGAAGTTGCTAGCATGAAAAATGCACTGTAAGAATAAATAACCATTATTATCAAAGTGCTTTCATAAAATGATCTGTAGGATTAAATCCTTATTAGAGCAGCATTATTGGTCATGATTATCATTATTATTACATATTAATTAGCAGTACCAAGATAGTGCAGCTTTCAGAGTGATCTTTACCAAAGTCAGTTAAATATGAAGGTTTCAAATTTCAATAGATTTAGTGGTTTAGGACATGGTAGTGGGATTATAGTCAATATTATTTATTCAGTTCAGTACTTGAAAAGAGCTGATGATGTGCTCAATGCTTGCACAGCAGAATTTGCTGCCTGAAACACATGCTCTAAGAAAGGGAAAGGAAATAGTTGCACTAGAGTAGGGCTTTTTTTCTGAATTCTGAAATCCAGGAGTTCAGTGTTGTTTATGGCTCTGACACTTCCTGCATCTATTTAATTTTGTGCTTTGTCATTTATTTAATATTTCTCTGACTCAGTGTATTGATGTGCATAAAGTATGTTCCACTAATTAATCTGTGTAAAGCATTTTGAATTATAGCTACCACGTAAGAATGGAGCAATTTTTCCCATACCTGAAGAGAAGCTGTAGTTGACACAGATTGCCATGTTATGTGTGTACTTTTCATAGATGTGGTGCCTGTTTGGTTAATGTAACTGTGAGGTGACATGATGGGCAGATTGTGTACAGCACACTTCTCTCTTTTTCTTTTATCTGAAATGATACTATTACTCCTTCCCTTTGATGCAGTAACCTAGTCAAGCTTCAAGAGACATAGGATAAGAAAAGACTGACAAATAAAATATTATTATGGCAGGTGTCACGAGATGGTACTGTTATATAAAGTCTCCCAAGTTCTTTTATTTTCCCACCTTGTTATGTGAGCAAACGTTCAGTCTTTGGAAGACACGCTGTGTTCGTAAATTTTCTTTTGCAAGGTCCTGGATAGAGAAAGTCAAATAAATAATTTGTTTTGTTGCCTCAGCCTCTGGATGGAGTTGTTCTGGAGACAGTTACTCTCCAATAGACAGGCATTAGTACTTGGCTAAATGCCTGAACAAAGCCATTGCCCTGCTGTTGCCATCTCTCTTCCAGGTCTAATTTTACTTGTTGCCTTCCCTCTTTATGCCATGCCTCATATGTAGCATCCCAGGATTTTCAGAGGAAAGACTCTGTGTGAGATACAGAAATCCAGCTTAGGCACAGACTCTGCCTGCAAAGCAGGACCAAGTGAGGAACTTAAAAATGACAGTCCCAGAAGAGAGCATATTGAAGGGGAGCTGGTGAGTGAGGCAGGAGGATATGCCTCAGAGAAGGACGGCCTTTCACTCTGGCCTCTGAGTGCATAGGTGTCCCCTGCTACTCTGAAATTGGTCCTAAATATCGATATGCAAAAAGAGCTGACCCTTTCCTACAAAAACAGAGTGAGGGAGAGACCATTTCTTTTTTCGTCTGTTAATTGGGCCTCTTCTAGGAAATTGGAAGCTAAATGTCCCTCTGCCAAATCTGGCATATAGAGCTAAATTTAGGTCTCTCATGTCTCAGAAGGGGCTCTGCCCATCAGGCTTTTTGAGTGCTGTGGGCTCTCTCAGCCTCTTCCACTGGCACTGCTCCAGTTTTAGACAGTGAAACACCAGCAGTTGAAAGAATTGCTTGATGAGATGTCCTAACTTTGTAACCTGCCATGTGAGTGATGTAACCTTGTTTTACAGGATCTTCCTGTCATAACCTTTCTGAATTGAGAAGAGCCAGACACTCTGAAGAGATGAAAGAGATCTGGGTTGAGGTCCCCATCCAGGTGAGGCAGAGTGGGGTTTAAAATGCAGATCACCCAAGTCACAGGCACATCCCCTATCTCCTAGAACATGGGGTTTAGTACATGTTTTAAAGATATCTACTCAGCTGGTCCCTGCTGGTTAGTAAATGGTCTCCTGTGCTGAGTAACCTGGTCTAGATTCTTGCCATTAGTGTGCCACGGGGGGCTTAACATATTATGGACATAATGGCTCTTCTTTAAAAGCACCAAACCCAAACCCTTCTTGCACTCAGTGTCATTTTGGGGTATGCAAGGAATGCACGAGCAGGCTGCTGAGAGCAGCAGCTAGTCATTTGAGCAGTCTGAACTTTTTGCTTGGCTGCCCTATTTAAAATGGGTACCAGTGGAGCAATAGATTGGCATCTGATGTTAGTTAGAAAAAAAACCCTACACATTTAAGTGAAACAGTAACAAAGTGATTTTTTTCTGTAAATCTCTGGAATTAATAACTACAGCTATTTGAGAAGAGAAACAGTATCATTCATACTGAAAAATATTCTCTTCCCTCCCACAGGGGAAGCCTGTGTAGGTGTGGAGCTGTAGTCTGGGAAATTAAAAAATGCAAATTAAAAAATGCAAATGTAAGAGAGAGGCATTGCTTGCTGCAGTGCTCTAAGGGTTTTCTTGAATAGCAGCAAATTAAAGAAATGCTATGTAATCAAAGTTTATATCAAGCCTATGAAAGAAAAGCAGCATTATTTCTAAATATAGTGATAGGACTCTCTGCTCCTGATCCTTTACATTGTGTACATATTACCAGTAAATTACAAAGATACTGTATTATGTGTTTCAACAAGTCCTTGAAGAAAATGCACATTACCCTTTTATGTGCCACTTTATTCTGTTGTATTAAAACATGATGATTAGGAAGGAAAAAGTAGTTGGGCTACTTGTTTTTTCAGCTGGGTTCATTCAGGTTTTTTCACTCCATTTCCCTCTGCTGTCAGTACCAACAAGGGCTTCCCAACCGCAGCTCTTCGCTGCCGATGGTAATACAGGTCAATCACATAAGTGGCATTGATTGTGTGGAAGTTTAGATAGTAGATCTGTTCTGCCTTCTACATCCTCTCTCAATTTATCCCTGCATAACCCTGTCCTCCTGCTTTTCTCAGTTAGACATCAACTTCATTTGTGGTCTGTTTGCAACATTTCCCACAAAGGGCCAACGCAGCCCATCTAGGGAAAATAAATGCACATGCAAATACTATTTGTTCACCGTTTCAAGGTAAGCACAGTGCAGCGAGGAGGAATCCAAGCCACATGGCTACTTAGGAACTTCCCAGCATAAGGGTAGATAAGGGCAATATCCAAATGGATTAACAGCACCGAGAGTGGGCAACGTGGCTGAGGAAGAGAGAATCAGGCAAATGGTGCATCCTAGCAACACCCAGGTAACCTGTGGTCTCCAAGGCAATATGTAACTGGTTTTGAGAGGGATGAGATCGTTGCCAACTAAAATGAAAAATAAGCTGTGATGGAAACTCATATTTATTTGACTGGTAATTACAATCACTTCCACCAGCAGAACTCGGGCATGACTAAGAACAGAGGTGCAGCCATGAACCACATAGCTGGGAGTCTCACCAAAGGTAAGGAAATTAGGTTTTGATTCTTCTGTTTTAAAGAACTTGTATTCCTTTGTGATGTGATAATTTCACAAGTTTCGCTATTTTTTTGTGGTTCTTGGTCATTCCTCTTTGGCAGAAAACTCACTGGGACCAGAGGTTTGTCCATGACTGTCTCTGGGCCTCCACAGAGACTGCATGGGAAGTAAAATTGAAATGGAAGTTTCGTGGAGTCTTCTTTCCTCAAATGTTGCAGGGGCAACTTGCAACCACAGCAAGGTGCAGAGCCTGGAAGTTGTGGAAAGTAGAGCAGATTTGTATAAAAGCAAAACAGGCCTTACACAAATGCTTGTGGCCAGAGAATTCAGATTCTCTGGACTGAAAATACGCCTGCAGCCTGAGCTGCACACAGAATGCAGCTCTGTGGATTTGGCAGATTGAGCAAATGAAGACTTCAGCAGAATCTCTAGGTACTTGAAAAAACTAGGCCAAGCACACCCAGGTAGATAGCCACTGAATAAAATATTTTTTAGATCCTGATTTTAATTAAAATAAGGCATAACTACCCCATTGTGACACTGCTACAGTTTACAAGTCTTTCTTCATTTATTTAATCAATCAAAGTAGATAAATCAGCAAATAGTGCTTGCAAAGTCTCCTAGATTAAAAGATGAAACTCAGATAACCTCTACCAAATATGTTAATAAAACCAGAATTAGCAAAATCCTCTAAATAACTCTATGGATGAAAAATACTAAAGGGATTTGAAAACAGCTCTTAACAACAGTTGTAAATAGCATATTTTTTAAATTAATACTGTAATATAGGATATGCTGCCTACTGTTCTTTCTCGTTAGGTGTGGATATTTGAATAAAATTAGGCCTGGGTTGAGATATCCTGCAGTAGAAAAAAATGTGGCATTTTCAGCAGCTGTTATCACCATGGTGTGGTGAGGTGAGCAAAGATTCCTCCAGGGCATCTTCTTGAGCTACTTCATATATTTCAATGACTTTTCCTTTCTCTTGGGCTGTCAGAGGGAAGAAAAACAGAACTGCATTGGGGGTGCAAAACACTCACTGGTAGGACTATGAAAGTCACTTATGATGTGACCTTCACTACCTCAGTGGTGAAAAGATGAACTTCTGCAACCCCAAATGATTACTTCAAAGGAGTCACCATCACTGTTTCTTTACTCACATATTGTATCTTAACAGGCTTTTGTAACTAGTCTAGCTCTGATTCCAAAGTGACAGTTTATTAGAAAAGAACTTAAGTGTTTCCATGATTAGCATTCTAAATACTTCATGGTACGACATATGAAAGGTAGGTCTACCTCTCCTTTGACATTTTAATCCTAAATTGAGGTGGCCACTTAGATTTTACAGTCATCAGTGTGTCTCTGTGGTGTGCATTTAGCAGCTTTGAAACTCTTCCAAATTGTCTGGCTTTAGCTGCTGAGAAGAATCCATTACTCTCAAATTCAAATACCATCATAAAATCTGCTGTAACACCAGGGGTCCTCAAAAGGTCTTTGTCCAATTCACCTAACATTATCAAAGTGCTTGTAACTGGACATTTATGTTACATTCCTAACTTAGTCTATTTTTAATGTAATGGGCATTGGGAAAAGATGGTGAATTTCTCAAGGTCTTAAAAGAATCTAATATATCTTTTCTATTGGGTCTTCTGTTATTTACTCTCATCCCTTGCTCCTGACAGCTAGTCAAATTCTGCTAACAGTAGTTACTGGTTTTATGGGTGTATTAGGTGTTCTGCAGCCTTTAAAACAGCCAAAGAAGTTACCGAAGTCATTATCATTTCTATGGCAAAACAAGTCGAGGTGTCAGGCTTGTCATTTTCAAACAAACTAAATCATACCTTCCTGCCCTGACATCACTGGAATTACCCATCTGTTTCCTGTATTTTAGTGCCTTGTTGATTTGAGGAGTGCCCCACTCACGTTTCTAACTAAAAGTGATGTGCTGAAGCACATCAGCAGGCATTGAAGCAAGCTTGCAGCACCTATTCAGTGAAAGGATTGAAGGACTTTTGCCTCTAAAGCTATTAATCTTGTAACTTCCAAGCAGAGAAATCAATGACGTTTTGGAAAGTCAAATTGTTCATAAAGGAACTGTGGGTGGTGTCAGTGAAGAAAAAAAAACATAGTTACTGGAAAATACAGACAAATGTTTGTATTTATTTGATATTGGGTGGTGTGTACGAGAAATGTAGCAAATACCTGTAGCAAGAAACAAACAAGGAAATTTTTGTAAAAGCCTTGTTGACCGAGGAAAGGGGAAAACAGATCTAAAACCAGAAGAAGCAGGGCTGTAAGAAGTAATAATCAAATGCACATAGTAACTAGAGCTGGAGTACAGTGTGTAACCTTTTCCTTCAAATGTGGATTGAAATCTTTCCAAATATCAATTAATCCCTAATCTACCATGCATTTCCTAGTTGCTTCCTGTGCATTATTAATGGACTGGTCACCCTGAGATGAAGGTAGGAAGTAAAAGCAATTAAATTCCTCTCCCACCCCTGCAGATACAATTGACCTAGAGGATTCAGCTACAAGTGAAAATGAAAAAGCTCCAAAAAAGAATAAACATGTCCTTCTTGCTTGAGCCAAACCATGTAGTTTAAAAAGCCACATGCAAAAGCAACAGCAAGCTCTCTTTATATAAAACATCAAATTCTAAGATTCAGGGCTAATCAAGGAAAAAAGCAAGTGCCCAGTCTCTGCTGATTTTTGCTGGTGTTGTTCTGTAATGAATGAATACTTTGAGCCAGAACTCCAGACACTGATTCTTTTTTCAGTGTAGAAAAGAAAACCCCATCTGTCTCCTGAGAGGTATTGATCCCATTTGAATTTGAAGAAACAATTTTAACTTCATGTTTTTGTGGAGGGTGATGGCCACAGAATTCAGGAAGGTTTCTGACTGTATAATATGGTTAAATCTGGCCTGAGAGGGATACAGTCATCCTAGCCTGCAATTATCACACAGATCAGTCAGCAAGGATAACAAGGAGAGCTCTGTGGCTGTTGTTTGCACTGTAACGTTAAAGACTCGTGTTTGTTTCCACAGTGTTGTAACGCAGAGGTGAAAGTCTATCCCTTTTGCCCTGTTTTCAGCATCATTGGAGATAAATACCAGGCTAAAATAGGCATATTCCCAAATCACCCCGATTGTCCATCTGTTTAGAAAAACTCTCCTACCTTAACAAAGATTATGTTACCAAACTCAGGGTGTATAAAGAACTAACTGGGAAGAGAAGAAGGAGGAAAATACTGACAGTGCCTACACAGGGAAGAAAGAGGAAGGAGTGTCATATGGTTTTGTTCATGCAGAGGGTCCTTTCTGAATGTATGTGA